AGTACTATCTCGCCCTGAGGAGCACTCCATAAACTCTTCACATGTTCGGCATGCTCCTGAACTTGCATGTGACGTATTTGTAAAATAGTTTATTTCTGTTGATGGCATCATTTTTATTTTCATCGCTCCAAGTTTTAAAGAGATGGGAAAACTATTTGTCACTCACATTTTTAAACTACAAAACTTGAGACATCAAAACCACAAAGCTTTTTATGCCAAACTTTAAATTCAGAAACTGACAAAAGAGAAAAGACTGCAAGCAAGAAGCACAAAAAGTGTTCCACCATCTCATCCTCTTCAAGGCAGGATGGGCAAATGGAGTTCTAACAAGTTGTCTGCAGTCCCGATATTGAAGGCAACATGAGTTTTACCCACCTGCATCCCCACGATGGCACTCCCGAGTGACCTGGCACCCAGAGTAACGCGAGGTGGTTATGTTTGCCAATATAATTTAGTCAAGACTTGCACTGTCGAACTAGTTTGGAAATACTTAGATGGAGGGCTGGCCAATGCCTTAAGTACAACTCGGCTGTGCAGACACGTAAACTCCTTCCCCTCCACTTATTTTCCACCACGTAGTCTTTGGCTTTGAGGATTGCAAATACTTCAGCTGGAAGATCGAAGCATATTCCGTAAGAGAAAAATGAATTTTATCCCCATTAACATCGAAAAAGATCCCAGATCCTGGCCCAGAGTCAGTGTGTGAGTTCGGGCTCAATGGTGAAATTAAACCAGCATTCCCCCTCAGGGAACTCAGCATTATAGGACCAAGGGCTCAAATCTCTGCCGCCAGCAATTTTCGCCCCTCGCCTCCCTCAGGGTTATACCAACATCCGTTTCTTTTTAGTCTGCAGTTGGCCTTTAAGGCTTCCCCACGTATGAAGACACGTGACGGTAAGTGCAGCAGTGCACTATACACCACTCAAAAAAATTAAAGTTAAATAAGGAGGCTATCAAGTAACCATTTTTGTTCTTTACTATCGAAAACAGGTACAATTTCGTGGACCCCCACTTACAACTCGTGGACCCCCATATTTTTTTAACGCCAACGTAGACCGCCGTCGAGTCTCCCGTGGGCCCCTGGGGGTCCACCTGGACCACTCTGGGAATCACTGGACTACACCAAGCATTAAGTGTAGTTTTGGAAGTGGTTGACGTCTAAAAAATATTCAAGCAATCTTTTGCAACATTGTTTGAACCTTATCCTTCTTTTAGGCATATTTGATAGTTCCCAGACATGCTCGAAGTGGATACAAGCTCTCTAGAAGAATTATGGAGCTCATCCCTCTTTGCGTAACAATAAGTTCATTATGTATTCTATGAATTCAATATTTTCTTCCTGTAGGAGTTTTTTTTGCCGGAGCCAGGCACAAACATCCAGCCAGGCCATCTGTTTTAAATCTGCACGATTTTATAATAAACGTAAGCAGATTGTTGGGTGTCAAAGAGCTCAGATGTTCGTCTCGCGGCCAAATGTCTCATACCTAGTTCTTTCAAAGCCAGACCAGAAGCACAACGAGTGTTCCACCTTCTCATTGTCTCCAAGGCAGGATGGGCAAATGGAGTTGTTATATACGCCTATCCAACAAGTTGTCTGCAGTTCCGTCTGCTCAGTGAAAGTAAAAAACTAGATAGACCTTCTCAGATTGAAGCCAACATGAGTTTTCAGCACCTGAGGCGCCTCGATGCCTCCCAGTCATTTATGAACGAAGAATTCATTCTGATGGTGGCTGCGATGGCCGAAAATGGGAGTGCTATAACTAGTTGCGGACCGATTAATGCCTAGTCTGAGCCAATTCTGGCCAAATAGTTTTTTTTTGTTGTAGTATTTTCTAATATTGTAGTCCGCTAAGTATGTCCCGTCCGACATATACATATGTGTGTATGTATCTATATTAGGCTGATTCAGAAAAAAAAAAATTATTTTTTCCCTCAATGCTCAAAAGTTTCGATTAGACTCCAAAATAAGTCTCAGAAAATATGAGCCCTTCATATTAATATTAAGAATGACCGCATCGCACTTTTCGATTCCCCATGAGAATAATACAGAAAAAATTGTTTTTTTTACATCTGATTTTTATATTAAACGAACGATACGTTTACTGTAAAGTTCTTCGGGTATTTTTGTAGAGAATTTAACGCTCTACAAAAAAGTTCTAAAGTCATTTTTCAATAAGTCAACTCGGTCAAAAGAATTCGCGGTTTTTTGGCTATATTTGAGGTTATATTATTGTTATATACGTACATATATCACCATTGTGAATTGTAAAGTAATCATATGCCTTATTTTACCTTTAATCATAATATTATACTTTAACGCAAACCGCTGCACATGAAGTCAATAAAGTGAAGTCGTGAACTGAAGACGGACGTACTAGTTTCACTCGGTATACTACAATTATGATAAAAACAAATTTTTTTCTTGTTTCTCATTAGGGAATCAATTAGAACTACTCTTTCCCTTTAAAATTCATTTTCATATGTTGCGATTTGACCTTTCTTTCTCATTTAGAACTACTCTTTCCCTTTAAAATTCATTTTCATATGTTGCGATTAGACCTTTCTTTCTCGAGATATACCAAGGAGGCTACTCTGTAATGCGATACGAAAGAGAAATGCGATGCGATAGGCGTATTACTCACGGTGTATTTGCCTATCGCATAGCATTGCGCTTTCGTATCGCATTACAGAGTAGCCCCCGGTTTTAATGTGCAGCTACTTCGGTATTACTTCGTAACTGAGTCATCAAGTTAATACCGAAGTACTGCACATTAAAACTGGTATATCTCGAGAAATAAAAATCGAATAGGTACAAACGGAAATGAGTTTTCAATGAAAATGGTAGTACTAAATGATGCCCTAAGTAGAAAAAAGCAAACAAGAAAATTTAGTATCATAATATAACCTCAAATATCGCCAAAAACCGTGAATTCGACTATGACCTCGAATAACTTTTGACCGAGTTGACTTATCGAAAAATTACTTCAGAACTTTTCTTTAGAGCGTTCAATTCTCTACAAAAATACTGCAATACCTTAACAGTCGATGTATCTCTGTTTAAATATAAAAATTAGAAAATAAAAAAAACTATTTTTCTTGTGTTATTCTTATAGGAAATCGAAAAGTGCGATGTGGCCATTGTTAATATTAATATTAAGGGCTCATGTATTCTGAGACTTATTTTGGCGTCTAAGCGAAAATTTTGAGAATGGTTCCGAGGGGGAAAAAAATTTTTTTTTCTGAATCACCTAAATGTATATACATATACATACATATAACTTTTGTACAATCTTTTTTTTTAATAATACAATAATAGCAATTTTTAATAACTTAACTTAATTCCTATCAATAAATTTTAAATGATAGTCTCAACTCATTCTGCTTTGCTAAATGAGAAAATATTTATACTTGAATTTCTCGAAAAGATTTACATACATTACATATCTGTGTTCGTATGGAATAGTAGCTTATGTCTTGAAGCTGGCTTTAGTATAATGCGGCATTCTCTTTAGTCTTTAAACCACAAGGAATTTTTTGATGAGACTTAATAAGAATGTTGACTTGCTAGTATCGGAAATATTTCTTGCACGTTTATTTGCCAAAAGTTCTTCAACGGCTCGGCGCTAGTGAGTCATTCGCAATCGTATGCTGCGAATGCCGCATTATACTAAGGCCAGCCTTTCGACAAAAGTTACTTTTCATACGAACACAGAACACATACGTGTAGGTTTTTAATTTTTCACTTTTTATGATCTAGATTCTAAGTATAAGAATCTTTCATTTATTTTCGGCTCAGAAGCACCGTGTATGTACGTATGTATGTACATTTATTTTACATTTCTAGTGGGTTACCTGCAATTAGTTATCCTTTTTATTTTCATCGACATAACGGCCACCTTAATGTATATACACAAATATGTAGATGTAGGGTTTGTATTTGTGTTATTACCTTTTATTGTACTGTGTTCATTTCATCTTTGTAATTTTGGAAATTTTAGATTTATGTGATTTTTGTGGGTCGTCAATCAAATAGAAAATTTTCATTATTCAAACTTTTCTCGAATTACTAACAACATAAAAATAAATTAAGTTTTGTTAACTTTTAATTAAAATATTAAAAATAAATCTTTGGAATCAACTACATTTTTGGCGATCCTGCCAGGAGCACCTCAAGCCATTATACGTTTACGTATACGTGCCTGTGCTGATTTAAAAACATCACGAGAGGCCTGCGCGCCATGCAAGTCTTCAGTTTTGGCAAATTCCCGGAACTACAATAGAGGTTGCTTCATCCAGTGTCCAAGTTAGCGTAGCATGCAGGGATTGCAAACGCCACTACAATCAGCATCAATTAAAACTAACAGCGTCAGCATTAGCATCTGCTTCAGCTTCAGCTAGTCGCAGAAGCTGTTTCAACTACAACCACAACATTTACTTCATAACAGAGGAGATCTAACGATTCAAGTTCACCACTTAAGAAGCGGCGATATCTTTCCTACTCATCAACGCCAACACTAACTCCAATAACAACTACTGCGTACAACAACAGACAGCGACAGCGTTAGTAGCAGCAGGAAAATCAACGTGAACATCAGCAGTGTCACGTACCAGTTTCAGTGCCAGTAGTAGCAACGGAAGTAGCAGTAGCAGCAACACAAAAACGCTCAACAAATGAAGAACATAAACTTTAGACGCAGTTGATAACTCCGCCGATAATAGTAGTGATAACAACCAGTACTAGCAGCAGTGTAAATATCAACTATACAAAAGCAAAGCTCCTACCACTGGCAACAACAAGAACGGTAAGAAGCAATAGCAACGACAACGCAGCAACAATCACGTTGACTGTGCTGTCAATATCAGCAGTTGCAGAGCACAGTGAGCTGTTTCTTTTTATGTAATATTTTTGATAAATATATTTTTATATTTATTATTATATATATTTTAATTTTTAATTGTAAACACTCCTTATAGAGATTTTTTTGTGCGAAGTTATCATAATGTTTCGTTCACCCCCACATGATACACACACATCTACATGGACTAATAATTTAAATGACTCGCTTATAGATTTGCAAAACAACTCTTTTCAAGAGGAGTTGGCAAATCCTTATGCTAGTCAATATAATAATGAGGTATATGCAACCTCAGTGAAGCTTCCGCAATTTTGGACAAGTTGTCCAGAAGCTTGGTTTGTGCATATAGAAATGCAATTTAACATGAAAAACATTACACAAGATACTACAAAATATGAACATACAATCACAGCGCTTCCGCAAGAAGTAATAGTTACAATATTAGATTTCATTCAAAATCCTCCGCATAACAACAAGTTTTCAGAATTAAAGAAAGTCTTAATTGAAAGGCATTCTTTAAGCGAAAATAAGAAATTAGATAAAATTTTGTCAGATTCAGAGATGGGTGATCGTAAACCCTCTGAATTTTATCGGTCGCTCATGTTGCTTGCAGGTTCCAATTTTAGTCAAGATATTTTAAAGAAACTTTGGCTGAGAAAATTGCCAAAAAATCTTAGTGTGATATTAGCTAGTTCAAGTACCAATGATATAAATGAATTGGTGAAACTAGCTGATAATATTTGGGAAGTGATTAATAAAACCGAAATATCAGCTATGAATAGTTTTCAAAATTCTAAATCACAAGACACAATTATTGATAATTTAGTTAAAACGACGAATCTTATGTGCGAAAATTTTCAAAAACTTTCCTTTGAATTAAATTCTATTAAGCAACAAATTAATCAAAATTCTAGATATAGATCATATAATAGGAATTGTTTTAGAAGTCCATATAGAGGTAGATCAAAATCTCGTGATAGTCAAAATTGGTTATGTAGATACCATTACAAATTTGGTGATAAGGCTCAGAAATGTCAACAGCCTTGTGCTTTTTCTAAAAACAAAAATTCGTTAAACTAGAGTCATCCGTTGTTGTGGCGGCAAACAATGGAAATTTAGATATTACCACACGTCGCCTATTTATTTTTGATAAAGCAAACAAACTAAATTTTTTGGATGATAGTGGAGCAGAAATTTCTATACTTCCGGTAAAAAAATTCCCTCATACAAAACGTTCTTCAGATATAATACTTACTGCAGCCAATGGTTCAACGATTTCAACGTATGGTAAAAAGATTTTAAATATAAATTTAGGTTTAAGACGCGAGTTCCCATTTACGTTTCTCATAGCTGATATTGCGAAACCTATTATTGGTGCAGATTTTCTTTGCAAATACGGTCTCTTAATTGACATGAAATGCAAACGTTTAGTTGATCCAGTAACAAGTCTTTCGGTTAACACAGTTTCATGTGTTTGTAACATTTCGCTTCCAAAAATTTTCGTAGTAGAGAACAAGTATACAAGATTGTTGAAGGAGTTTCCTTCTTTGATCGCTGAACCAGATTATTCGAAACCGGTTAAACATTCTACGGTTCACAGACTTTTTACTGAAGGAAATCTGCCATTCTCTAAGCCAAGGCGCTTGGATCCGATTAAATTTAAAGTAGCCAAAACTGAATTCGATTTTTTAGTGAGGACAGGGATTTGTAGACCTTCAAATTCTTGTGTAGCATCTCCACTGCATCTTGTACCTAAAAAAGAACTAAATGACTGGCGTCCTTGTGGTGATTTTCGGAGACTTAATGTTGTGACTGTACCGGACCGTTATCCTTTACCTCATATTCAAGATTTTAACATGAATCTCAGAAATAAGTATATATTTTCGAAATTAGATTTGGTAAGGGCCTACCACCAAATTCCAATGGCAGAAGAGGATATCTATAAAACTGCAATAACGACACCTTTCGGTATGTTTGAATTTATACGAATGCCTTTCGGACTAAGAAATTCAGCGCAAACTTTTCAAAGATTTATTAATGAAGTAGTTAGTGGTTTAGATTTTGTTTTTACATATATTGATGATCTATTGGTTGCAAGTGAAAATGAAGAACAGCATTTTAAAGATCTCCGTATACTTTTCCAACGCCTAACAGAGTACGGGTTAAATATCAAACCAAGTAAATGTACTTTCGGTGTAACAAGTGTTGACTTTTTAGGACATAATATTTCTGGGGCAGGAATTAGACCCTCTGATGAAAAAGTGATAGCAATTCGTAGTTTTGAACGTCCTAAATCTATTAAACAGGCGCAGAAATTTATAGGCATGGTTAATTATTACCATCGATATGTACCAAAATTAGCTGAGTTTACGGCAGTTATCTACGATTTAATCAATCGAACAACTAAGAAACGTGACAAGTCCTTAATTTGGGATGACACAACAAATAAAGCCTTTGAATGTATTAAAGAAAAGTTTGCGTCTACGATATTGTTAAATCATTTTAACAAAGATGCCAAACTCTCTTTAAATGTGGATGCATCTAATACGGCAATTGGTGGTGTCATACATCAAACGTTTGATAACAAATCAGAGCCACTAGCTTTCTTTTCTAAGAAACTTTCTCCATCCGAGGTTAAGTACAGTGCATTTGACAGGGAGTTGCTAGCTATTTATTTGAACATTAAACATTTTCGCTATCTTTTAGAAGGACGACAATTTACAGTTTTTACGGATCACAAGCCTTTGATATATGCTTTGAGTTCAAAAACCGAACGTAGTCCGAGACAAACTAGACATATGGAATTCATTGCACAATTTACTAATGACATACGATATATTAAAGGACAGGAGAACATTATAGCTGACACATTATCTCGAGCTTTCGAAGTTGATGCAATTAAGGGTACAGAACTGAATTTCAAAGTTTTACAAAATGAACAAGAACAGGACGAGGAACTAAACACATTAAAATCTGGAGACACATCACATAACCTTAAATTAATTCAAATTCCACTTTTAAATTTTAATATTTGGTGTGAAATGACAGGTGAGAATCCTAGGCCATTTGTTCCAAATTGTTTACGCAAGACAGTGTTTAATATGCTACATGGCATTACACATCCTGGTACAAAAGCTACACGTCGTCTAATTATTAAAAAGTACTATTGGCCAAAAATGCACAAAGAAATTAATATTTGGTCAAAAGAATGTATAAATTGTCAAAAATCGAAGGTTAATCGTCACACAAAATCTCCAGTAATTAAAATTCCGATTCCCAAAAGTAGATTTGATCATATTCATTTAGATATTGTTGGACCTCTTCCTGTATCGAAAGGACATCGTTACATTTTTACAATAGTTGACAGGTTCACGCGTTGGCCCGAGGCATATGCATTAAAGGACATTTCAGCGGCAGTGGTTGCAAATAAATTTTTTAGAGAATATGTTTCACGTTTTGGGGTACCGTTAAAAATCACTACAGATCAGGGTACTCAGTTTATGTCAAAATTGTTTTCGGAACTAACAAAATTGCTTGGTAGTCATCACGTTACAACTTCTGCATATCATCCTCAAGGGAATGGTATGGTAGAACGGTTTCACAGGCAGTTAAAAGCTACGATAATGGCTAGAAATGGAATCAACAATTGGTATGATGAGCTGCCGATAATACTTCTTGGTTTACGATCGATGTATAAAGAAAGTATTTCAGCCACATCATCTGAGATGGTTTTTGGGCAAAATTTACGCCTACCCGGTGAACTTGTTGTTCCATCTGAAGAAAAATTTTCCCCAATTGAAGTTTTAGGTAATTTACGGGAACATTTTAAAAATGTTAAATCAAATTTAAGGCATAATCAAAATTCTGATACTGGTGTATATATACCAAAGGATTTGGAGACTTGTAAATTTGTTTTTATGCGTGTTATTAATAAAAGATCATTGCAACAACCATACGAAGGACCTTATAAGGTTGTTGAAAAAAAAACAAAAAATATTTCAAACTTGAAGTAGATAATGAGGTTAAAACAATTCCGATAGACAGACTAAAACCGGCAATCATTGAAACAGAACTAATACCAGAAACAAACACTAATACAATGAATAACACAACATCAAATAAGAAACGAGTTACTTTTAATTTATATAACATTAATTCTCTAGAAGGGGGAGTATTGTAGGGTTTGTATTTGTGTTATTACCTTTTATTGTACTGTGTTCATTTCAACTTTGTAATTTTGGAAATTTTAGATTCATGTGATTTTTGTGGTTCGCCAATCAAATAGAAAAATTTTCATTATTCAAACTTTTCTCGAATTGCTAACAACATAAAAATAAATTAAGTTTTGTTAACTTTTAATTAAAATATTAAAAAGAAATCTTTGGAATCAACTACAGTAGATATACATGTATGAATGTACTACACTCAAATAGCTTTTGACCGAATTCCTGAAATTCTTTTAACAAGCGCTTGGAAATGACTTTTATCCCTATATGGCCTAGGCAACTACAATAGGATTTAGCAAGAATGCGCAGCACGTGGGCCTGTCGTGCCACTCCCCAGGGATGTCACGCAAACGCGTCAACACAAACAATACAAGTGCTGCCACCCTCTTAAATGAGCAAGGGGCCCGATGAAGAACGTCAACTTCTGTCATTGCGACAGTCGGTTAGTGACAATTCCCAAGTAGAAGTCTTGTATACTTGTATTTACATACATATGTATGTACATTTATGTATGTATTTATGTACTTCTGTTTGCGCATGTACATATATGTATGTATTTAGCAAAAAGAATAAATCAACATTTGTTTCACAAAAATTTTAAACCCTCTAGGTATAGGCTGACTTCCAAAATGTCAATTGCTTTGCATACGTACAAAGTAGAATGTTCCATAACCCCGAACTACAAAATATTGACAATGTATACTTTTCCAAAACGTATCCGAAAAGTTATCGAAATGCATCGCTAGAGCAATCAGCGCATCAGAAACAAAGTTGATGCTTCGTTTGTTATTGGTTACCACTGATGTTTTAAAAATGGAAAATTCAGAAAACTTGTTCACTGCTATATTGAATATTTAAAATATGCAATGTATATGGTTGCAATGTGTCGCAACTCTGCATGTACAAACAGTTTGAATACCGCAGTATAACAGTATCCAAACATTGTATTGATACGTTTTGGAAGTCAGCCATACTTACCGTCATATACATACATATGCACATTAGCGTGGTCCCTAAATCCAATCGGTAATACCACGATCACAGATATCACAAATAAATTTTGGCTGCGATTGGAGACGGTTAAGGCGTGTCGCACAGGGGCAAAGTTCAGATTCCACTGTAGAGACTCAAAAAATTAAAATAAATTTTTTTTTCTTCTAATACCCAAAATCGATTCTACGATAGTCGAAGATATCACATATAAATTTTGGTCCCAAATGGAGTTGGTTAAGGCGTGTCGCAAAAGGGTCAGAAGCCTCTACGGAGACTCAAAAAGTTAAAAATATTTTTTTCTTTTAATACCCTAAATCGATACTACTAAATTCTAAGATATCACGTATAAATTTTGGTCCCGATTGCAGTCGCTTAATACCTTTTCATAGGTTAATCTGGTTTTGACCCCTTTGCTTCACGCCTTAACCGACTCCAATCGGGGCCAAAATTTATATGTCATATCTTCGACTAAAGTAGTATCGATTTTGGGTATTAGGTGAAAAAAATTTATTTTAATTTTTTGAGTCTCCATAGAGGAATCTGAACTTTGCCCCCTGTGCGACGCGCCTCAACCGTCTCTAATCGGGACCAAATTTTATATGTGATATCGTCGACTATAGTAGCAT